ATTCTTCCTATTGTGAAGTCATGCAGTGTGAACCCCCTGTCGCCGATCCATCGTGCAATGTGAACACAGCAGCAACTGACTGCTACCCCAGATAGGCACGCAGTGTGAAAACAACGGCGATCCGACGAGTTTGAAAATCGTGCAGTGTGAACTCGGCATAAACCGCTTACTTTCACATCATGAACTCCAAACAAAGACCACCTGTGCTCTGATAATGCATGTGTGGGGTAATAATTATCATGAATAATCAACCAAACCAAACCAACAAGTAAGAAAAACCTCAAGAATGACAATGCGCCACTAAAAAGTGAAAACATTCTTGATATCTGCTTCTAAAATTGACTAAATCATACTGATAAAGAAACAAATAGTATTGGCTGATACAGATTTATAGTTCTTTGCCATGTTTTCCCACTTCCAATCTCCCAGTTTGTTTCACATACACTCTTTTGTGTTGATGTCTGAATCCTCAGCACTAATTAAAGTGTGTGTGGTGAGACTGTGGCCTGATTCACTCCCACACTATTCATCACAACACTCTGGGTATGTGTCACAGGTAATGAGCTCAGTCTAAACACACACCAAACGCCTGCTATTCAATCACAGCTAAACTAGACCATCATAGCACAAAATAACCCAAATAAATCAATAATGGCTGACAAGAACTTCCTTTTTTAGCATCGATAGTCATTCATCATAAACGCCAGTTCTAAGTTTAAACAAGATCTGTTAATAAAGCTGTCATAACTTTTGAGTTCAAATTATTTTTTGGCCGTCAACAATTAGCAGGTTGCAAACATCCACCTCGTGTTTTATTGCATATGCAGCTGATGGCAAAAAGATCCACTTAAACCACAGATAAGGTGCGGTAATGTAGTCCGGCTGCCAGTATTGGGACACTTCAGGTCACGTTTAGCCGAGGTAATGCTCCACATAACTTAATTATATCACAGTAGAGGCTCCCCGCTGTCAACAACCCCTCCAGCCTGCAACCAGACTTCCACATCCATGACAGCAGTAATTTTCTGCGGCGTATCTTGTCTGTGCGGTTCAGAATTACTGTCATTTTCCCCATGGGGCCTGTTCCGCGAGCTGATGGGAGCGTGTGAGGCTTTCATCGCGGGCCTCTTGCATTTAACGGAAGGGATAAGTGGCTAAATCGGGGATGGAGAGAAATCTTTCTGAGACGATCGACTCAGGAACGAGGTTGTTGTGGTAAGGAAGCAAAACAGACGTACCAGCCGGTAGAGCTCGGTGACGCTGATTTCATCCGGGTCCACCATGCTGAACTCCCTCCTGGGTACCAGGTCCAAACCCAGCTGCCTGTGAAAGATGAATATAATTCAAGCATTACAAGTCTATGTCCAACATGTATCACCATATCATACAAGCGTAAATGCTGCATAAATTCACAATCAAAACCCAATCAGAAAGTATCTGTTTATTGGAGTTATGTGGAGCTAGGGGCTATAAAACAATTACAAACCAAGCAAAAAAACCAAGATCCTGCTGCTTATCGCTGCCGGTTAGGACAAAATCTCATGGAAGAAATTAATAATTTAGGCAGCCGGAAATCAAAATAGTTAAATAAGAAATTATAATTCACATAAATAAAATGAAGAAAATGTAGGCCTATATGTCTAGATGTTTTACTTGAGTGAGTATTTTTGTAATTTTGCAATACTTTCTGTGGTGATTCTCATTAGATTATCATTACTGGAATGAATTAATTTACTTTTATTTAAACCAGCATAAAATATAGACAGTACAACAAATAATACCAAGATAAATAAATATTTTACTTTGCATTATCGTTTAAAAGTTTGGGGTCAGTATGATTTTTTTTTTTTTTACTAAATATTTCTATTTACAAAAAAATCTGTAATAATAATGCTTACTTATTTTTAAAAAAAGGTCCTCAGGGTGGACGTCATCTCCGTAATGACAGAGTCTTCGGTCGGCACTACCGTCTCAAACTGCCTGTGAGTCAAATGTGGGTGGCACACAGTGCAACAGATATGAGATGCACCTCATCTGCTTCTGCCGATGCTACACTGTTCGTTAATCAAAGGAGAAAGCAGATGTACAGTGGAGCGCTGGCGCTTTCCTTCTGTTTGCCATCGCTACATTCATTAGCATTATATTCAGGCAGAGCAGGCTCACAACAGATGTCTGTGCACCAACAAAATGTCAAAATATGGTTTCGTAAAATCCAGAACACCACTTATATTTTATGGATGCAAAATAAGGAAGAAGCTAATACAATTACATGGCCAGATATGTATGAATTACGGCTGGGCGATTTTTCTGTTTATATCGATTAAGTCGAATGTAATCTTTTGCCACAATTTTAGTTTTTTAACCCTCATAATGTGTTCAAAATCTATATATAATTTTTGCATTTGGGGTAGTTTGGTTGCTTTGTAAAAAGTCTTAACTTAATATTTTTCGATTTAAAACCACATTGTATCTGATCAGCAACTTCTCATTAATGAGTGAATGTGAAATATATTATAGTATATTATATTATATTATATTATATTATATTATATTATATTATATATTATATTATATTATATTATATTATGATTAATTGAAAAATTATTAATTAATATAGCATCATCGGTTATTTTGTGTGATTCATGTGTAATTTTAATCATTATATTATATTATATTATATTATAATACTGTTAATACTGGTTTATATTTATATCTTTTCATTATAGCTCATGATTGCAAATTTATGAAACCTACATATTTATTTCTAACAAAACAACATAAATATTAAAGTTTTCAAACAAAATAGATTCATTGTACTTGCATACATTTTCACTTTCAGATGAAAAAAAAAAAATGCATTTTTCATGCTGCAATAGTTTGTCAATAGCATGTTGAAACATGTCGATGTTTATCAACAAAATTCAGTCCCAACAATGTGTGAGATATGAGGAAAGGCTAAATACATTTTACATTTTTCTGAAAAATCCAAAACAAATCAGATGGCTTAGTGGTGCATGGGAACACATTGGAACAACATTTTCTTGGAGACTGCAAACTATAGGTTAAAGTGGCTGTATTGCAGTAACAATAGCGAACAGATGTGTAAAATGTGCATGTTTGCACTTTACACAGACATGCCAGATATCTGAAATTACACAAATGTTACTAATATCATGGGGGGAGATTTACTACAGTAAATACTGAAACAGCATATGAATACGTTCTTTTCTTCAACTCACCCTTTATTCTTGATATGAGCATTCTTCAGATGGATGTAGCTGCATGGGAAAATGCCCTAAAAAGAAAGATAGATAAACAGATAAAAAAAAATTTAAAAAAAGAATAAGTCTACTAATAATCAAGGGAGCAAACAGACAGAAATAAAGCAAGATATTGGATTTGATCCGTGTGTTTCGGCTGACGGTGTTGCTGTGATATTTCAGGAACTAAAAATAGCATCCCACAAAGACACGACTGATAAAAGACAAAGAGACAGTTGCTTACCTTGGCATTCGGGTTCTTGAGGACGAATCCTCTGTACCAACCTGAAACGCACAACATTTCAGGGACTTTCATCTTTAATATTGGCCTAATGTTTCCAGACTGAGCCTTATCATGAAGCTACTTTTCATAGGATGTTATCTAACAAAACACAGTAAGTAATGATGGAAATGATCGTAAATTAGTTCAAAAAGGGCAAATCTATGCTTATTTAAAGGGACAGTTCACCTCAAAATGAAAACTCTGTCATCATTTACTCACCCTCAAGTTGTTACAAACCTGTACAAGTTTCTTTCTTCTGTTGAACACAAAAGATGATATTTTGAAGAATGTTGGTTACCAGTTTACGGTAGCCATTGGCTTCCATAGTATGGAAGTCAATACTATGGAAGTCAATGGCTACGGTCAACTTCAGGGTGAGCAAATTATGACAGAGTTTTCATTTTTGGGTGAATATCCCTTTAAGTATGTTAAATCTGACAGAATTAAGATGTGTGTGCAGTGAATGGATATTAAAAATGCTTCTTCCCATTAAGAGATATTTAATATCTCAAACATCCAACTATATAGCACTGAAGATAGCATCTAGAGTAATAAAATGGCAATTGTAGCATTTGTTTCACCAAAGATTTACAATGTACAACACAAATACTTGTTAAACACCTTTTATCACTTACTGTAGGAACCTAGTGGCATATTTTATTGTATTTACACAACTGACACCCACTCTATCAGTCTCATTCTTGCACACTGGCCAACTAACCAAACTAATCAACAAGATTCGACTCTGCACTACCACAGATGTGAACATCTCCAGCACTGATCAATAGAGCCCGACCGATATATCTTTTTGCCGATATTATCGGCCGATATGAGCCTGTCGCAGATATATTGGTATCGGCGAATATGTCGCCGATATAAAAATTTTTTTTTACAGAACATATAACGCAGATTAAATGCTTCTGATTGGTGTAATTACTTAGTTTGTCCAGCAAAGCGCGCTCCATTGTTTGCTACTGGCGACCCAGGTCAGTGTAGTGTAGAGATGCGCGAATGAGCTCAAACTTTACCCGAGTCCGCTGCTTCACATTATCCACCCACCCGCACCTATATGTGATCGTCACATTACAATGATTCTAATTCTTAGTTTTGCAATGATGACATGATGAATGAATGGTTAATTTTTAACAGCAGATTCAGTGAGACTAGAGCTGATCTGCACATCACGGCACGCGTCTGCGGCTCATTAAAGCCTGTGTTACGGCCACCGGA